ATAGAAATTTCTATCTCTGCCAAGAAGGGTGAAATCATATAAAACTCCATACATGAGGGCAAGACATAAGGTAACATCTGTATAACATTGGCCTGAGACCTTAAGGCAGGTAAGGTAGATGTAACTATATGTTAAATCACAATCTTGTCTTCAAAACTGCAGAAGCGTTGAAGGCAATGGAAAAGGTGGCCAGCCACATCAATGAAATGCAAAAGATTTACGAGGATTATGGTGCAGTGTTTGACCAACTAGTTGCAGACCAGACTGGAACTGAGAAAGAGGTAAGGAAGCCTGAATTCTATTTTTTATTCACAAATCAGTCCAACATTGGCCTTAGTTCTGGCAGAACAATAAACTAAACATGGATTTAGACCAGGGTGGGTTCTGGCTGGCGTTACTGCCAGTTCGCTTGTGCGCGCTTCGCTTGTGTTCGCACACTGAATACGGACTGTGTGCGCATGCACAGTTCAATAGAAATTGTTTTGCGCATGCCCAGAACTTTAAAAAAAAAGATGACGATAATGATGGTGACTGCGGAACCAGTTTGGAGGTGTGTCCAGCCTGGGTTGCTGCCAGTTCTGCAATCCAGGCTGGCATGCCACTACCGGTTCGGCAGAACCAGGCCGAACCGATAGGAACCCACCTCTGATTTAGACAGATGTTAGAATCCCCCCTTCACATTTAGATTGGGAAGTTCAAAACAATTTCCTGAAAGGAAGGCAATAGTAGACATTTATTAGTTGTCAAGAAAATTGTCTGGATTGTTATCAGTATAAGTATAATCTTTATTGTCATTGTACTTAAATACAACGAAATTGGTTATCAGAGCCGGGCTTGACTTGAGAGCAATTTTATCTTTACTCTTTAAGGGGAAAAAAAGACAGCAACATCTTACTTCAGTTGCTGATCAATACCTTGTGTATTGATGTCTGTTGTTATCTTCTCTGCCATGTAATCTATTTTACACAGTACCATTAAATATACAAACAGGCCACATCTTAGCTTTTGGTACTTATGAGGTGCAACTCACCCATCACTTGTTCTGAAGGCAAATTCTTTAAACTACAGTCCTGTCCATACATATATCCTAGTAGTAAATCTTACTGCACCCAATAAGATTTCAGGTTGCTGCAGTAACTGGCATCCAAAATATGTTAAAAAGAATGCCTCTTCAAAGTTTGCTGCCTTAAAAAGGAGGATTATCTGTATCACGAGATACCTGTCACTATCAAGTCTTTCACATTCGCTGCTGACGTGTTTTTTTTTAAACCATTGGAAGGTGAGTTTTCTAAAATCAGTGGGTATTTTGAAGTGAACTTTTGATATAATATTGATGGTCCTCTTTTGAGGAAATTGTCTTCAATCTTCCTTCTTTTTTAGGTCACAGAACTTTCCATGGGAGAACTTCTTTTGCACTCTACTGTTTCATGGCTGAACCCATTCACATTGTTGGGCAAAACAAGAAAAGAGTTGGAGCTTACAGTTTTTGGTCAGTGATCAATATCAATTTTATTAAAAACAACCCACCCACCCAAGTTGGAAACTTAAGCTGGTTTTGGAGCTATGCTTAGGATAGATTCTGAGAATTCTCATCCCACCAGAAATAAATAGCCATTTGGGGAACATTAGACCTGGTCCAATGCCTGCCGTCTAGTATCCTGCAAGGTCTTGCGTTAGGAAAGTACCATAAGGATTCATATTACCAGTAACTTTTTCCCATTGGCCAGAAAGGCAGCAGTAGACATGGTTTAATCACCATGGCAGTCAGGATTTGGAAGGTGGGCTGAATGCCCTTGGACTTTGAAGATTAGTTCAGTAATGGATTTATTTTCAACTGCTGCATTTCTGAGATTAGTTATGCAAAATGGATTAATTGCTGGGTTTAGGCATTCCAACTGTAGGGCTATCTGAATGGACAGAGTTAATTCTGTCTGTGATAGGGACTGCTTGGAGTCAAAATTAACACCCTGGCAAAAGTGATCAGTTATTTCTTTTTGGATATTCTCAAAATATTATCCTTTGAGCAACCCAGTTAATTATTTCAAGAAACAAGGCCACGTAGATGTTACATATAAGATAAAATCCAAGGATAAGCAAACAAATCTATTCACTCCTTTGAATTTTCCTGTCTTTTATGTACTTCTGTGTATCAAAAATCTGTTTTAGAAGTGTTACAAGATCTGCCAGAGCAGAGTTGGAGGGCAAGAGGTCTTCCTCTCTTGTTCCATTTCATGCTTAAGGGAGGACTAGAATTTGTGATCTCCCTCCATCTAGCCCTGTAACTTAACTTTGCTACCAAACTAGCACTCTACTTTCTGTGGCTTTGCAGGTCACCCAGAGCCTTTTAGTATGCTATTTCTCAATATTTCTTTGGGCCACTTCAGACCAATGCTTCATAGCAACAGTGGAAATCAACTGACACTTTTGTTGAGTGAAAGAATCCTCCACATTAACTGATCTTTGCATTTCTTCTCTTGTCACTTATTCAACAGTCTTGGTGATGTTGCACTGTGATGACAATGCATACATTATAGCAGTGATGGCTAACCTTTATGTCGTCGCGTGCTGAAAGTGCACTTATGCTTCTGACACACCCACGCTCCTCTGCCCCCGCACGTGACCCCCCCCCATGTGCACACACACCCTTGCCCTGTGCATTCATCTCCTGCATGCATCCTGCACCCCTATGGCAGACACCTAAAAATCAGCTGGACGGAGGGAGGTGCGTGCACATGCGTGGTGGAGCTGAGCTGCATGCCCACAGAGAGGGCTCCATGTGCCACATGTCGTACACGTGCCATAGGTTTGCCATCACAGGACTATAGTATTTGGAAAGTACCAAGATGGATACTTTTAGTAATTTCATATGGAAAGCAAATTCTAATCATTAGAATGAATGTCATGTAGCTTTTCTTAGCAGCTATTAAGCCTCCTGTTGGTCTTATGCAATTGAATGTTACTTACTGTGTGCAGTATATATTAAATATTGTTGTACATATGCCAGAATTATTGTTGTGTATTTAAACAAGCATATTTGTATGCTATCTCACTGTTTTTAGTATTACAGGAACAACTCCCCCATCAATGTTTCGTATATATGCGTATTTCTTACTGTTGAACCTGATTTTAATATTTTATTTTAATCTATACTGCATTTGCATAATCCTATTCATAATTTGTATCCTATTTTGACATTCAGCTTGAAGTGTATGTGAGAATATTCTTAGGAAATTACTGGCAGGTTCAGTAATTTGGCCCAAGACCTTGACCAGAGAAACACTTATCAAAGTGGCATTTGTGATGCACAGTGTCAGTTCCTACTGAATTTTAAAAAGTAATTTAGCATGTATTGAAAAGTATGGCAGTATACCAATAAAATCTATATTCTCTTTCTTAGTTTTCAAACGGGCGGTCATCTTAGTGTATAAAGAGAACTGCAAATTGAAAAAGAAATTGGTAAGTATTTAGATTACTAATAAATGAGTGGTATGAAAGTATAGTTTGAATTTAGGGTTATTGAATAAAAATAACACATTTTAGGGATATAAATACTCTAGATATAAATTATCAAAAGAAATAATTTGCTAAAAATAAAGGAATCATTTATGTATCTTTAAAAGCCTTGGATTTTGATTAAAAATGAGTATCCCAGATGAACATGAAACAGTTTGCAAAAACACACATAAGCTATGCTCTTGGTAATTGAGTAGCATAAATCGGGCAAGTTCCCTCTCTTATGACCACATTTTAAAAAAATAGGAGTGAAAAGCAAAATTGTTAGATTGAACAACAAACAATTTTGGGAATAATAATTGTCCTCTCTTTGTCCTCCTTTTAAATAGGTAGGTAATGTCCGTAATAATCAGAATGAACTGGATTTGTTTAAATTTCGTTGGCTGATTCCTTTATCTGCTCTTCAGGTTCGACTGGGTAATACAGCAGGTGACTTGATTTTACCAAACATATCATTTTAAAATAGTCTCTATTCTTATCATTTCGAAAGTTTATCAACCATGAATATATTCTGTTAAAGTTTTCATTGCTTCTTTCATAAATAAATATTGCACTGATGAAAAGTTCTGTGTATCAAGCAGGCTATTCGCCACAATATTGAAATAGTTTTAAATCCCAAAAAATTTGCAGAAAGAATTCACTCCAATTTAAAGCACTTTTAATACTTTTGTACATTAGGCAATAAGTCTATTCTTACTTCCTCTGCTTATCTAAAAGCTTTTTCCACTGTAAGGTACTTTTGGTCCATCATGAAATACTTCTGACAAATGGAACAGAAAAGGCCATCTTTGCTGATTGCCCCTCTTTCCTGCTAATTTCCCATGCCGATGCTACCTTTTACAGGGTTGGGTGATTTTTGGAAACACCAAGAAAGGCAGCAGTGGGGGGCTGCAGGGAAAAAAGGAAAGGATGCTAAGAGCCATTACATCCTAATTTTTGTTAACATGAATCCTGTGAGTAGACTTCGACTCAAGAAAGTCTTATCAATGAAAAAAAGAATCTTAGTCAGAGTTCCAAAAAGGACACGAGAGGAAAAGATAGCTTTACTTTACAGGAAAGTTTTCTTTAAGCCAAATAACAATCCTTGTTTTTTCTGATCAATCACTAAATGTGTTTGTGTGAATCACCAATGCAGGTAGACCAGGGGTGTCAAACTCGCAGCATCACGTGACATATCATGACTTCTTTCCCTTTTGCTAAGTGGCATGGGCGTGGCCAGTGCATGATGCATCCATCCCACGGGCTGCAAATTTGACAGCCCTGAGGTAGACAAAACAATGATTGGCTTCCTAAAACAATGTCAAAACAATGCTTTGAAGTGTGAATTGTTTCCAGTAACAAATAATATAGCAGTTGAAATGCTAATGCATGTATAAAGTATTTTTCATTCTTGCCTTTGATCAATTATAAATTAATCACAGAATAAATTGTAAACATCACAATATACAGTGTTTCAGTGCATGCACACACAGATGTTTTATGCTTCTAAATTTAAGAAAAATTAACTAAGCTTACGTAGAATTCAAAATTTAAGAATGATCTGTGCAAGTAGTTTTCCATTAACAACTACACATTCAGCAACTGTTTTGACTTATGATGATGCTGAACAAGTTTCCAAGACACCTGAGGGTAGAACAAGAAGCAATGGATGGAAACTAATCAAGGGGAGGAGCAACTTAGAACTGAGGAGAAATTTCCTGACAGTTAGAACGATCAGTGGAACAGCTTGCCTCCAGAAGTTGTAAATGCCCCAACACTGCAAGTCTTTAAGATGTTGGATAGCCATTTGTGAAACGGTGTAGGGTTTCCTGCCTACGCAGGGAGTTGGACTAGAAGACCTCCAAGGTCCCTTCCAACTCTGCTATTATAATAAAAAAAGTGGTACTTACCAACATTCCTCAAAATTTCGGACTGTCCCAGCAGCTCCTGGTCACATGATCATGATTCGGGTGCTTGGCAATTTTGAGGACTAGTTGCAAGTCCCTTCATTCAATACCCCCTTAACTCTGAATGGTTGCTGAACAAATGGTTTTAACACAGCACTACTTGTACTTAGCAGAAAAGCCAGATCCCAGTTTTGTTCATGGTTTGAATTTTGGAAGACAATGATAAAGTATTTCTAAAAAAAACCCCAATAACTTCATCAAAATCCTTGTTTTAAGAAAAAACCATTGACACAATCTCTTGGATGAAGTTGAAGCCCTAATTATATTCTCAGATATGAAATTCTTCGGCTAGTGATTTGTAGGTATCCTTAAATGTTTGTAAGAAAGTGTCTTTCTACACACAGGAACAGAAAACAGCAGTATTTGGGAACTGATTCATACAAAGTCGGAATTAGAAGGAAGACCTGAAACAACCTTTCAGTTGTGCAGCAGGTAGAACCAAAACTTGATTCCTAATTTCTAAGTGGATTATTTCTACTTTCTTCTTATTTTTAAACACTATCATAAATTCATATTAATAAATTAGTTTGTGTAAATACTATGCTATTTATTTATTCACATGAGTCCCAAATACATCTATCCTGTTTGGTCTAAGTCAAATGAAAGATTCTTATGATGCTATTCAGAGAGATCTCAAAAGTGAAGCAAACAGACGTGCTAATTTGGGGGAATATGCAAAAGACTAAGAATCAGTATATACAAAGAGAACCAGGCCTTGATAGCTAACCTTATCATTAACTTAATGTGTTGAATTGGAAAAAAAAATACTAAGAGATTTTTGCTTTGATTTAATTACTGTTCCCCACCCACCTACCCCAACTACAGTGACTGTGAAAGCAAGACCAACATAGTCAAAGTGATTCGTTCAATTCTAAGAGAAAACTTCAGGCGTCAAATAAAATGTGACTTGCCCTTTGAGAAAGCATATAAAAATCGCCTCATACTGCATAAGAATCGAATCCCTGTTTCAGCAAAATTGGGTAAGAAAATATTTTCTTAATATGTCAACATTTTTGTGTATTAATCTGTGGCAATAATATTAATCATGATCAATTACGTTTCAATGGGACATGTTAATTGTATTCAATTGAAAGTATTGGAGAAGCAAAACAAGATCTGTCTATCCCATAGAATGCCTTCCAAAATACTGATTTGGAATTCAATGGGCTGATATTTTTTTTGCTTGCTATATTTACTATGGTAACTGTTCTGGGAAATTGGCCATAATGTAAAATTAATATTCCAAATATGCCAATGGGTTAAAATTAATTAACAGGAAACAATTTTTAACCCAGTATAATAAAGAAATAATGCGTGTTTTCCATCTTGAAATAATTTAAGGAAGACATTATTTATAAGTCAGCTGAAATCTTTACGGATTACATTAGTTGAACTTGACCGAGTTATGCTAGTTCAATTCTCCTTTATAACTGCTGTATCTGTAACAATGGGAAGAATCAAAAAATGTAAAGACAGTCCTTGTTTACCAACAGCTTGTTCAGCAACCATTTAAAATTAAGCTGCTGAGAAATACTTATGCCCAGTTTTCAAAGTTGTGGCAATTGCAACATCCCTGAGGTCCCATGACCTCCCATCCCATGTGATTTGAATGCCTGGCAACCAGAGTGCATTTACAATGGTTGCAGCTTACCACGATCATGTGATCCCCATTTGTTACCTTCATATCCAAATTCTGATAGGCAAAATCAATTGGGAAGCCCCTTGGAAGTAGCCAGTCAGTCATGTGATATTGTGCTTAATGATTCGCTTGATGACCATAGACAGAATTTATACTGTAAGCCTGTGAAATTATGTAACATTTCACTTTACTTGCATTGCTTAGCAATTGAATTGCCAGTCCAATTGTGTGTTCTGTGAGGACTTCCTATAATCTGGCAAATATTCTAGCTGAAAAGGTAAAAATTCAAGGAAAGGATGGATTTTGTGGTTTTAAAAATCATTAAAATTATTCCATTACCTCTTTTCTTTGACTATACATTGCCTGGCTCAGATTTATCCTTTAGCAACTATACAACAATGATTAGGAAACTTCAGGTGACTTCAGGAGTTCCATTAACCTTCATGCTCTTCTTCAAAGACCAGTTATTTTAAGATGACAGAAAAAAACATGGATAATTTTAGGCACTTTCCAGGCTATGCCTCTCACCTCATTTGACTTGCTCTCCCTCCCCCCATCATTTTAATTGAAAAGCAATAAATGGCAGATTTGTGTCATGCTACAAAGTAAACACTTCTCTAGGACCCTTCTATAGAGTCTGCAATAACAACAATACTAGGAAATTGTAATCTGGGACCTATTCTGGAAAAGAGTTCACGCAACTAGAAAAAGCCAAGACTAAGCTGGTGAAAAGCATCATAGGGGGCGTAGGAGGAAGAGAAAGAGCAACATATTTGTTCTCACAAAATACCCAAAATAGGCAATCGTGTTTTACTTATGCCAAATATATTAGTTTTGAAAGATTGCCTGCCCTCTGCTGTCCAGATTCTCAATGTTTATTTTCTGAAGTATCTCTTTCTTCTATAACACTTAATTGCATCAATCATAATGTTTAAATGGTTACCACAGTGGTTGAGTACAGAAACTTGATGGATGTATTTTTACATTGGCAGCTTCTTCCAGATCACTGAAATTACTGAAGAATTCTCCCAGTAATGAATGGAACAGCAGTGCAAAAAAAGGAAATGAACCGGATTCTGATGAGTGCAGTTTGAGCAGTAGTACACCAAGTAGCAGCTGCCAAACTACTGACAGTATCCTAGAATCTAAAAACTCCTCTCCCATGAAGAGTTTGCAGAGCTGTGCATCCGATTTTTCAAATAGTCCTGTAAAGGAATCGGATATTCTAAGTGATGAGGAAGATAATTTCCAGCAACTTTTGAAAAAAAGCAATCAAACGAAAGACATAGAAATCCAGTTCCAGCGGCTGCAGATTTCTGAGATTCAGAACAGTGACGTGGAGACGGAATATCCTTCTGAGATAGAGAACAGAGGTGAGCAGAGGGCAGAAGAACAGCCTAAACTAGTTCGCGCTCACTTTTGCCCTATAAAACGAAAAGTGAACAGCACAAGACGTGACAAAGGAACATTGCGGGCAATGCAAGAACAGCATCTGTCACTTGACAATCAGCCTGATTCTCCGGGTTTTGACCTGAATTCAATTTTAGAACGGGAATTTAGTGTGCAAAGTTTGACATCAGTGGTTAATGAGGATTGCTTTTATGAATCAGAAGACAGACATGGAAAGTCCTAGCTATTTTGATTTGCATCTTGATAAAACTCTTCAGTTTAACTTACTCTTCAGTTTAATGCACTACTGGGTTTTTCCATAAAAGTAGTTGTAAAGGCTTAAGTTATTTTAATTTATTCCAAAATAAAGTTTACCTTGAATTTGCAAATTCTGTAAACTAATCTCTTCCCCCTTCCGTATTGGGTAACATTTCAACATTTTTGAAAACATGGGGAGGCGAAATGTTCATTTTTTGACCTGAGTCCAATTAGTTTTCATTGAGCATTTAACAGCATGTTAGTTTTTGCTTTATTTAAAGTCAAATTAAATTATTTGAATGCAGAGTAACAAAGTCCTCTGTACATTGTACTAAAATGTATATGGTTGTTTATATTTGATTTTTATATGTTTATATATGTTTGTACATACAAAAAGCTTGTACTGTAATCTTATGGTATTTTTATTTTCTCTATAAGTTTGTACAGTAAAATGTTAATTGAAATAGGTAGTTTTGTGGGTGCTTTATTCTTGGTTGATTACTTTTCAGTTATTTTACATTTCATCTTGGGACTTGATTGCACTTTTAGAAGATAAGCAAAGTAATATCACTTGAGTTTTAAGAAAAATGATCCCTATTCTCATTTGTAAATTTCACGTACAATTTTGGTTAACATTGAAGAATATATTCAAAGTCAAATTTATTTCAGTCCAATCCAAAACCTTTGTAGTTGCCCAATTCTAGTGGGGGGAAAGGTAATTTTTGTCAGTCCTTTTGAAGATGGTTTCCTTTTTCTTTTCCTTTTTCTTTTTCAGTTCTTCTCTATAGTTATATGCAAAAAGATCTGGATCTTCGTCACACATTTTCCTATAGACATTGCAAAGGTTTTTAAACTGAAATAAGGACAGTTTAGGTGGATATAAAGTTGGGTCAATATCTGCCTCCATGAGCAACTGTTCGGTTTTTTCAAGGCGGTCAGCTTCTGGAAATAAAATCCTGAAAGAAAACAATATTGGTAATCAATAAGGAGCATCAAATGATTTTACTTCAGATTTCTCAATTCAAATAATACTATCTTCCACAGCCGCACTATAACTCAGGGGCATCTGCAGAAGAGGTAATGTTGGGGAAAATGATAACATGTGCACTGCAACATAAGCTAGGTCCCCTTTGAATGTGTGTTGTGATCTCATCTATATAAAGGCTGAAGTTGCATTGCAATGCAATTGGATTCTGCTTTTGCTATGACAAATAGCAAAAGTAACATTAATACAGTGGTACTCTGAAAACAAACACATGGCATACCTTTCACTAGGTTACTGTAAATGGATGAAAAGAAGAGGTACCCTCAAATGTTCAATTAAACTGTTGCACAACTAAGATAGAAAAATAAGTGATGTCTTCAGAGGCGGATGCCACCAGGAATCTTGCTCTGCCCCTGCCTTTTATAAAATTTATCATTTAAAAAAATCAAATTTCAAAGATAGCTCGCTTAGAATTGGAATCTGAATATAGAGCTTTTTAATATTCTAGTGTGCTTTTTAAAACTAGGCAAAGTGTTAATACATTTTATAAGTCCATGTATGATATGCCATAGGCTAAATAATAAAAATCAAATTTCTGATTTAACAAAAAACAGATTCTTTCCTGACTATAAGGAACCAAGAAGCAACTATTTCAGAGAAGGAAACATATAACTGAATGATGTTTGTGACATACAGTAAATATAACATTGTTCTCTTGTCTCTAGTAAGGTAGATTTATTTTACTTTTGTGTTTACAATGGTTTGCTGAGGATTGTACCTGACTTCTCGATATATATGTGGAAAAGGCAACACTTCTTATCTGATTTTATGTACCAGCATGTTGCTGAGAAGACTTGGCCCTCATTGAAAAGGAACTAAGGCAATATAAGTAAGACTTTGAATTTCTTTTTGGTAACGTCTTCCATTCTATGACTATGTACAAAGTAGACAGTAACAGCTTTAATTTAGTCATGTATGTTTGCATTGCCACAATATTTTTCAGCATCTGTTTTCAAGTACCAGAACATAGCAGGCAATTCCTCACTATCTGCATTCAGTCAATATACAGGTAGTCCTTGACATACATTCACAGTTGAAGCCAAAATTGCTGTTGCTAAGCTAGATAGCTGTTAAGTGAGTTTTGCTCCTTTTTATGAACTTTCTTGCCACAGCTGTTAAGTGAATCACTTAGTTGTTAACTTAATAACACAGATGTTTAAGTGAATCTGGCTTCCCCACTGACTGCTTGTCAGAAGGTTGCAAAAGGTGAGCCCAGGATGCTGTAACCATCATACATGCCAGTTGCCAGTTGCCAAGTGCCTGGATTTTGATCATGTATCCATGGGGATGGTACAACGGCCATAAGTGTGAAGCACGGTCATAAATCACTTCTTTCAGTGTCATTGTAACTTTGAACATTCATCAAACAAACTGTTGCTAGTCAAGGGCTACCTATACTGTAAAAATCTACCTGAGTTGGTAAATATATTACAACTGTTCAAGGCTTATAGCTATGAAGAGAAATAAAACGGAAATACAAATGAGAAAATTCCTTGAAAGAACCACATATGCAAGTGTGAGCCTTCCCTCCTCCACCCACCCGTTCTTGAAAACAAATCTTTATATGTCACTCATTTTGTTACCTTGCACCATGATGACAGAATTTTCTTCTGAACTGGAAAATACTTTGAACAACTTTTTCCACCAGCTTAAATGGCTGTTTTATTTTTGGCTCCACTAGTGGTGTAAAATGGACAAGTGTCACATCTACCTGAGATCAAGATATTAGTATTATTATTATATTTATAGCAGTAAGGATATATATTTATTATAAACTTATATACATAAATGTCATTTAAAGGAGGAGTTCTATTGACCAATAAATCTACAGCTTCCAAGTTCACAATGCGGGCCTCTTGCTGTTTCATAACATAAAATAAAATATGCTTTCAGGGAAATTGAACAGATAAGTGAGAGAAACACATTATAAAAATATTATTAAAATAAATTAACTTTTGCCATCAATTCTTCTAGATTACAATTTCTGGATCTGTGATGCAAAATTCCAACTAATCTCTAGATTATATAATTCGATGTATCCTTTTGCTATCATCTAATGTTTATTGATTTTTGTTGCCAATATCTTGTGGCCCTATTATATAGTAAACTCTTCTACAACTAGAATAATTATTGTATGGTGGGAAAAGGAAATCTTGTTTCTCATTTTCTTCTGCATGATTGAAAATGGTCCTCCTGACAGCAGAATTCTGAGTAGAATTATGAATTAGTGGATTTCCACCCCCACCCCCCCAATAGTCATTCTGTACATTTACATGAAATAAAAATAGGCTGAAATAAAGTATGG